ACTGGGCAAAATGGTGTCATTGGTTCATGGAATGCCCACCGACCACTTTGCTGCGAACCCCGCCACAGGAAGGCCAAGCTCAACAAACTTACCCCTTTCATGCGTAGACGAGCAGTGCTTTTGGCACAGGAGCGTCGCGGGGCGCTAGATAAGTTGACCACCGCTATTGCCACATCCCCGTGCCCAGACAAGATCTTTTAGAACCATCTGTATCAAAAAGCTGGTGGCACGATTTTCGGTAACGTTAGATTCCCAGGATCGAGGAAATCCTCCAGTCCAATTTCATCACCAGGTAATTCATGCTGGGAGCGCGGCAATGCTCATTATTTCTAACGAACAGGGCGATTTCACCATGAAGCTAATGAACATCCGCAAGTTTGACATTGATGCGAGCCCACATATCAATATTCAGTCGAAATGGCGGACATTGGGGCAATGGAACCCACCGGATCCTACCCAGAAGACTTTTAATGCAGCTGGAGACTTCAACATAAAATCCGGCCCTACTCGCGGCTACGTTGACCCCAGCAACGAAGCGCTTGTTCCTGGCACTGCCCCTGGCACATGCAGTTGGGGTCGCTGCCACTTCACAGCTACTGGGAGCGTATCTTCTCTAAGGTCACAGAGATTACGCCAGACTGTCCTACCCACTATTGCAGTGATACCGCCACTGCGGCAACCTTGGATAAAAGCTGCATTGGCATACCGTCCCATCATCTTCCCGATGCGTGGGTATTTGCAGAGGTGGGCGTGGACGCCGCAACCATCTCTGGCTCCAGACTCAGCGACCACGCGCCGATTTCATTATCGCTGCGTGACCGAGTCAGACGTGATCAACAGACAAGTAGTCCTCAGCAGGTATTATGTGACCCTCGCCATGAAGAAATTCTTGGCCCATGAATTGACGCAGCCCAACTTGAGCGATCTCCTGCAGTCTATCAACGGCGATGCATGAAGGACTTCATGACGGAGGCGGCGCAGCAAGTACGCGATGAATTTCAACGTCTTCCGACCCCATCAAAGGACATTCGTTCCAAGGCAGGCAGGCCCATCACACTACGGGCGGTTTCACGCGGCGTCTGGCTCAATGACACCCCCACGGCACAGAAGCTGAAGGCCGCCACGCCCGATGGCGCACGCTTTAATGACATCATCAATGGAGTCGCTGTGCTCTGCGAGAGGGAAGAGTCCACGCTCATCTCCCACGCTGCCACCTACGAGCTCGGGCAGATGGAGGCGGAGATGGACCTCCCCGTTTCTGCCGCGTGCGACATTGAGGCGGCGCCCTCGCCATTGGGTCATCAGTGTCTATTGGGGCTACTGAGTAGAGTGGGACTTCCGACAGGGGTATTGAATTGTATTCCCTACCTAGGCTCTGCCTAGAAAGGTTCCTACTCTCTGGGCTTAAAGGGGCCGGGCAATGGGGCCCGCCCCGGGCGGTTCCCCCAGCATCCGCCCCGCGGTTCCCCCAGCTACGTCCCCTCAGCTTAGCGTTGCCTATCTCATCTTAGCTTAGCTTATTTCATCTTAGCTTAGCTTAGCTTCATCTTGGCTCAGGTTTATCTTAGCTTAGCTTACCTTCGTCTTAGCTTCGCTGAGCTCCAGCATAGCAGACCACAGCATAGCATGGCATAGCGTAGCATATCATAACTTAGCATATCATAGCATAGCACATCGCAGCATAGCATAGCATAGCGTATCATAGCATCGCATAGCATAGCGCAGCATAGCATGGCATAGCAGAGCAGAGCAGAGCATAGCAACGAATGCTGCTTTCCTAGGGGTTCCAACTTCTAGGTAGGGTCGCGCTGGGGTAATTCAAGTCAAGCTTTGTATTTCCTGTCCAGAATGTCTGCGAAGATTCAAAACCACGCTGTCTCCCTTGTTCCTCTTTGCCCGGGAGCGCTCCAAGGATGCCCCTTTGCAGGGCCCCCGCGGGCCCTAGTTCTAAGACGCCTATACGCTGCCAAGCAACTCCCGAAGGCGAGGCACCACAAGGGCGCTCTGGGCGGGCGGGCGGACGACGTCGGAATGGTTATGCCGTGCCTTCGGGACATGGTAGGAGTCTCGCAAGCATTTTGTGACGTCGAACGTTTTGCGTTCCTCAAACTTCAGGCGGCAAAATGCGCCCTGGCCCCACTGCGGACCGAGTGCGCAGCCGAAACCCAAGCCAAGGCGCGAAACGAACTCTGTGATTGGATTCCGCAATGGGAATACTTTAAGATAGCGGGTCACACCACATACCTTGGCGACGAGATGGGACCCGCTGCCACGTTGGGGGATATGAGCAAGCGCTGCAGAAAAATGGTGGCCAGGGACATTTGCTCTCCCAGTTCCAAGGGCTGCGCCGAGCGTCTTCGCTATGTTGTACAACGCCGCCGCTCTCTCTACCCGTCTCAGCCTTGCCGATCTGAATGCCCTCCCACCGTTGATAGCCATTGCCCCATCATCTGTCTCGCTGCTGGGGCGGGCCAGCAGTCGGCGCACCGCATTCCGCATTATGAATCATGTTTGGCAACGCGCGCTGCACAGTCAGAAAGCATACGCACAGGACAAAGCGACTATCGTTCGTTCCATCGCGGGCATAGTTTCTGCCCCCTGCTGGAAGCGCCCATTCGATTGCTCAATTTCTCGAGCGCGCACGCCCCCCCCCCTCCGCGGTGTCAGGGCACGGAAGGACAACGGCAAGCGTTTCGGGATGCGCGCGAGCACACCATCACTGCCCTGAGCGAGTATCGCCGCCCGCACCCACAACGCATGTTTGCCCGCTCTATCCGCGCTCATATATTCCCTGACACCTTCCATCTTACTCTCAGCAAGCAGCTGTTAGAGTGGCAGGTCATTACTCCAGGGGGGCGGCGGCTGGTGGCGGGACGGTGGGGCCACTGTAAGACCTGCCTCGCTACGTTCAAGCCTGTCTGGCAGTGGAGTATGGTCAAGACGCTCTGTGGTGCATGGACGACCACTCACAGGCTGCACATAAGCAAACCACCTACCACATGTATTTGGGGTTGCCAGCAGAATGATGAGATTGCCCACTAGTTAAGATGCCCTCGAATGCTCCATCACCTAGCCATGCACCCAGCATGGAGGAGGCGCCACTTTTCTGGTTCATCACTCACGCTGCTTGGCTTGGGTCGGGATTACGATTACGAGCGCGAGGGTTCTGAACTCACACGCACGGAGTGTCTCCATGCGGTGGTTCTCGCCAGTCTGATGTATCATGAGGCAAAGGATTTCGCACAGCGTTCACCGATGTCGATGGACAGAGCGTATGACATCCGAGGTGCTGCAGAGCTTGCCATGGAGCGATAAATCGCTCCTTTCTCTCGTCTCTCTCCTGAAGGGGGCGGGGGCCCGTCCTGAAGAGACAGGATCTCTTCTTCCAACCATTTTTTCCTCGCCTGAGAGGCGATTCTTTTCACATTTGGTCTGCTTCGAGCGCCTTCTTTTTGTGTGCCCTGCTGGTGGCGGAAGTGGCAATGGGTTGCGACGCCCCTCGGGAGGCCGAAAAAAAAACGAGCTCCACCCAGCAGGAACCCGCTCTCCCTCCGTCGATGCTTTCGCGTCGGTCGAGGTCGAGGCCGGCGGTCGGACGGACCTTGTCGGGTACGTCGTTTCTTCTTCCTCCGCCTCCTCCTCCTCCTCCTCCTCCTCCTCCTCCCCCTCCTCCTCCTCCTCCTCCACAATTACACAATATGAAAATACTCTCCCACTTCCCCTGATGGCGTCCCGAAGATGGCCGACCCCCCCCCCCCGCGTAGTTTTTTTACACACAGGATTCCCGGGAAACGGGTTTTCGCCTGCGTTTTTTTCAAAACGCTGCTCTCGCTGAGGCGCCGGCCTCATTTCTGCTCCCGAATCGTTCCGAATCGTGCTCCCGCTGCAGCGTGGGCCTCATTTTCGGATCGGTGTTTGGCCTCCGTCGTTCAGGATGGCGTTCTCGCCCCAGCGCGGGCCTCTTTCTCGCGCGCCCATCCGCCCGCCACCACCGCGCCGCACCACCACCACCACCACCCACCACCACCACCACCACCACCATCCACCACCACCACCAGCACCACCACCACCACCACCAGCACCACCACCACCACCACCACCACCACCACAACCACGCACACACGCACGCACGCACGCACGCGCACCACCACCCACTACGCACGCGCGCGCGGAGCCACAGGTCCGCTACGACACGCGTCCGCGGATAGAGAAAATCAGCGCCATGGTAAGGGATGGGAGGGAGGGGTAGGACGTCAGATATGACGCGAGCGCACCTAGCTTGTCCTCCTCCCCCTCCCCCTCCTCCACCTCCTCCTCTTCCTCCTCCTCGGGTCGCCTACGGCCCCGGGGAAACCGTACACCCCAGGGTTCATCACTTTGGAGATGGTCATGTCTTGAGCTACTCGCAGCTGCATAGGATTGGGTCCTTGTCCTGGCCAGTTTAGACGAGCGTGCGCGGCGCCATAGCGATAGCTTCGTTTTGAAAAGGAGTGGCGCAAAATCTGTGGAAACACACAAACATGAAAACGCCTGCCTGTTGGAGGGGAACAGAGTAAAAATGGCGATGGATTATTTTTTCTCTGCTTGAATAATTGAAAGTGTGTTGGCTTCTTTTCCCCCACCCGACAGGTTGGGGGTGTTAGACTTCAAGAACAGGCCCTCCGGCCAACCACCCTATATACCGCGGCCGCCAGACCCCAAGTTGTCCCGATGGCCACCGAGAGTCCAGGATGTCCCGCCTCGCGCCCGAGACGAACACGACAGAAGACAGCATGACAGAACAGAGCATGACATAACGGAACAGAGCATGACAGAACATGACAGAACATAACATAGCAAGACCATGACAAAGTAGAGCATAACAAAACATCATTGAACATACTTGAGCAGAGCAGAACGTGACAGAACAGCAGGTGACATAACAACACAGAACAGAACAGAGCCGAGCATAACATAACACAATTTGACAGAACATATCAGACCATGAGACAGCATCATAG